CAGGAAACTTATCTGTATATATGTTTTGAAACTAATCAGTCACTTCTCACTCCATCTGACTGGCATGCAGAAGTGGTCTTTTCCATGCTATATAGTTCAGATACTGACAGAACACCACAAACATGCAAGCAACACAATCACCTTCACTGGCAGGAGGCTGTTCAGCTTTGGACTTTGTACATTCAGATTACCAGGTTACTGTAGCCTGCTATTCACAAAAAATTCTTTAGAAGATGAAATACTTATGTTCTGGTGGTTTAAAAAAAAAAAAGATCTGTAGCAGGCCTTAATCATATTATCTCTTCTGTCCAACAGTTTATCGGAATCCTGGTCAGATCCTGTAGCCAAGTGAGGAATAGTCCTATCCAGAGGTTGGCAATCTCTTAAGAGTGGTGGTGAAATTAGTTTAGCTCACTCTGAAGACAAGCCACCACTTCTGACCTGGCTGCCACTTCCCTTACTACTGCTGCTTTCAATTTTCCTTCAGCCACTGATTTGCTGCTGATGTCCTGGCTTTGCAGGCCAGATGAAATAACTTCATAGGCCAGATCCAGCCCAGGGGGTGCCAACCTGTGTTCTGACACACAGCATCAAAAAAAGACAGCATTCAGACACTAGTCTTACCAGATGTTTTTTCCATTTGGACATCACTTCAAAATAGCAGAAGAAATAAGAATTTATCTGTTTGTTAGCCCTCAGCTAATTGGGTTGTGCTGTCACCTTCAGAACTATGTGTATTACTGTAATTATTTTTAGCAGCAGTTTTCTACTGTGTACCATCTGCAATGTGTTCTCTCCCCATAATTGTTAAATTCCTCTAAGATTTCATTTTCCCTTCTTTAGAAGCTTCTGCCGTACTGGATGTCAAGTACAGTAACAAATTAAATAGTCCTATGATGAGTCTCTAGCAACTTGTTTGCATAGCACCTGTCCTTGAAAAAAGCCTTCCCAATCATACTTTGGCTTGGAGAGTAGAGAAAAAATGATCAGGCTATCAAAAAATATGATCAGAAAAAAATACAGGCTATCTTGGGGTGGTCATAGGATCATGTGAAAGTAGGGCTGGAATAGGCCTCACGAGGTCACCTAGCCCAGCTCCTTGATCAGACAGGATCCTCCCTGACTAAACCATCCCATCTAAGTTTCTGTCGAACCTGCTCTTGAAAACTTCCAGGAATGGCGATTTCGCAGCTTCTGTAGGTAACCTGGTTCAAAGCTTGACCACTCACAGAGATAAAGTTCTTCCTAATCTCCAACCTAAATTTCCCCTGCTGCAGGCCATTGCCACAGAAGATGTTTGTCCCCATCCCTATTGTTCCCTACAGCCATAGAGAATGCTTTATCTCCATCCTTTCTATAATCGCACTTTAGGTATTTGAAGACCTTTATCAAATCCCCCTCAGTCTTCTCTTCTTCTGACTATATCATCCTAGTTCTTCAGTCCTTCCTTGTGAGTCATGCTTCCCAGGCCTCTAATCATTTTTGTCACTCTCTGCTGGACTCTTTCCAATCTATCTACATCCTTGAAGTGTAGGGACCAAACCTGGACACAGTACTCAGGTGAGACTTCACCAGTGCTGAATAGAGCAGAAGAATCTAGAGCTGTACCAATATATTGGTTGCATATCATATCAGCACCAATAAAAGCAAAATTAACATTATCAGCCATTGGCTTTTTTTGGCTGGAATAGCCGATAATGTCACTGATAAATGCCGTGTGCATACATGCAAATGTTGGCACTGGATTTGGACCCAGCCCCTATACCTTTGTTCTGGGTGAGCACAACCCTCAGACTGACCACAACACCTGCAAGTTGATAATTTCATAGATTTCATAGACTTTAGGGCTGGAAGGGACCTCGGAAGATCATTGAGTCCAGCCCCCTGCCCAAAGGGCAGGAAGTCAGCTGGGGTCATAGGATCCCAGCAAGATAAGCATCCAGTTTCATCTTGAAGGTGTTCAATGAAGGCGCTTGAACCACCTCCGGTGGCAGGCTGTTCCAGACCTTGGGGGCTCGGACAGTAAAGAAATTCTTCCTTATGTCCAGCCTGAAACGATCTTGAAGTAGTTTGTGACCATTCGACCTCGTCATCCCTTGGGGCGCTCTGGTGAACAAACGTTCCCCCAGATGCTGGTGGTCACCCCTGATAAACTTGTAGGTGGCCATCAGATCACCCCTGAGCCTGCGCTTTTCCAGGCTAAAGAGCCCCAGGGCTCTCAGCCTGTCATCATAGGGTCTACTTCCCTGACCTCTGATCATGCGCGTGGCTCTTCTCTGGACTCTCTCAAGCTTCTCCACATCCTTTTTGAATTGTGGAGCCCAAAACTGGACACAGTACTCCAGCTGCGGCCTCACTAAGGCCGAGTACAGGGGGAGAATGACGTCCCGGGATTTGCTTGAGAGACGTCCCGGGATTTGCTTGAGACGTCCCGGGATTTGCTTGAGATCATCGAGTCTGACCCCCTGCATAGGCAGG